AACCGAGTAGACTTCGCCCACTGCATCAGACCAGCAACCAATGATTTGCTTCAGCCACAGTAACAGTAAGCGTCGCAGTATCTGCCTACAGCGTGCGTCTGCCATGGGCAACTCCACGCTTTGGGTGACCGGTGACCGCGCCGCCTGCGCTACTTCCGGAGTGCTGTCGACGAGCGCAGTGTCTTTCGAACATGCCGTCGTGCGTGTTTGCCGCGAAGCCGGCGCAAGGGTCGCTCGTAACGTCCGACTGGCCGACATGAACCTCGATGTGCCAGTTGCGGATGATGCGCGACGCGCCGCTGACACGTACCCCAAGCTCGGCCAGGCCCGCAGGTGCCCTTCGCACTGAGAGCTGCCGGAGGCCATGACCCATGGCTCTTGGATGAAACCGCAGGATTCGTCAGGCGACACTCGCCGTCAACCAGATCTTTCGGAGCGGCCTGGTCGTCATCGGCACCGACGGCACCGACGTTGGCAGTGCAATTCCTGCGCCTTCGTGCGCGGCACCAAGCCGCCGCCGTCTTCAGGCCGCCGGTGGTCCGGCCTCCTTGCAGTCTCTGCTCACTGCGCCTTCGCTGCCTCCTTGCACGAGTTGCCCCCCCCCCCCCCCGCGTGTACCCCGCTTTACAACCAGAATCCCCACTTTACAACCAGAACCCCCACTTTACAACCCATGAGCCTTTCCGGAATCCACACTTTGCAACCGGTTGGGAAAGCTTCTTAACAACCCTATTAGCTGATAACGTCAAAGCCTAGAATCTCTAGCATCATCCTCTACGGCAGCCAGGCAGGTTGGAAAGTGATGTTGGTTGCAATGTGGGCGTTCTTAACCCGAAACCACGATAGATATGTGTGTGTACATATATATATATATATATATATATATTTATTTATTTAGACGCGTGAGGGTTTGGTATCGATGATATACTGTTTAGATGCTCACCTCAGCGAGCGTGTTGTTGCATAGTGGTTTGCACTTTACGCACTTGCGGCCGTCAAGCTGTATCCAACCCACTCCCTGCAGGCAAACTCGGACCGAGTGTGTTTGTATTGGGGAAAGCAGAAAGAAAACATGAGTTTTAGAAACGGATTCTTTTCTCACCAGAGCGCAGGTATGCATTTGGTTCGGGTGCATATTCTAAACCTAGTGGCTTTACAAGGGTTTAGGGCTTAGGGTTTAAGGCGTAGGGTTCGGGTGCATATTCTAAACCTAGTGGCTTTACAAGGGTTTAGGGCTTAGGGTTTAAGGCGCAGGGTTCGGGTGCATATTCTAAACAAGGGTTCGGGTGCATATAATCCGGAGCAGCCCTCAACTACTGCTTTGCCTCCAGCCAGGCGCACAGAAGCACCCACAGACGACAAAGATCAAAGATATCATGCGACGAAGCAATTTTAGGGATGTTCGAGATCTTAGTAGTTTGGGGCCACGGTCGAATGAAGACCACGTAAAACACTTTAGGGGGTCAAAGAACCAACAAACTATTAGGAATCTAGGTAGGTTTGTTGTAAAAAAACTCATGAAATCCCAATAAGTCTTGATCATGGGTAGACGGGTTGCAAAGTGGGCGTTCTCACGATCGGCAGTTGTAAAGTGGGGATTCTCACACGGAAAACAGTGTCTGTGGTTGTAAAGTGGGGATTCTGGTTGTAAAGTAGGGATTCTGGTTGTAAAGCGGGTTTTAATCCCCCCCCCCTGGCGACGGGCCGGTGCCAGAATGGGTCAGAGCTGCGCGGGCTGTTCACAGAAAGTAACGACCTCCCGCAAGCTGACTGCGAGGCCCGGCAGTAGAGGTTTAGCTTACGTAGTCTGCACAGAGTGGTCGCAAAAGAGTGCGGCGGAAAAACACCCAAAGTGACGTCATCAGCTTTATCGTGCTTGATGATGGGTTGAAACACGGGTTAAGACCGTCAAGCACGCAATCAGGCCATGGAAGGCTCGTTCGGTCGGCCATGGCATGAAGTTGGGTGGCGCGACCAATTTGACATATTTTGGCTTTGCAAAAGATTTATGCTACGTTGTGGATTGAGTCTCTTGTCATGCTGGCGTCATCGAAAGCTGAATTGGACTTAGGTATGTCATTGTTGGGCACAGCGAAGACTCGAATCTTTACGATTGCCATTTCGCCAATGATTTCTGGCTTTGATGTTGGTGATTCCCACTTGGACGTAAGAGGCCGCATTCGACAGCAGTCTGTAACAGAGTTGGCACATCGCATCGGTGCAGCGTGCCTAAATTCTATGACTTCCATGTATATCTACATTTAGAGCAGTCACGGCCTATCCAGATCTTGCCCTGCACACTGTTCATCGTGCCCTCGACTTGTTTTGCGCCAAGCATCAGTGGGGAGCTGGGACTTCGCCGGTGGGGCGCTTCCGGCGTGCCCGGCGGAACCTCCGCCGAAGTGAGGGCTGCGAGCAAAAAGAAGCCTTGGCCCGTCTTCGTTACTAAGCCCTCTCGAAGCCCTCTCGCCCTCGGGAAGCGGTCGATGTCGTCGCTTCGTCGATCCAAACCAGGCGGATGTTGTCTCTAACCTCGGCAAGACGCGTAGAGAACCTTAAGCGCCTGCTGCATAGCCGCAAAATCAAGCATAAGACATTACATGCCGATCTTCGGTTGGAAGTTGTTAGCAGTCGTGACAGGCCGATCTATCCGATGTGGGTCAAGTCTCATGTCGATAGTAGGTCGTTTAAGGAACTCTTCGGTGACCAGTCAACCCGGGCCTATGTCTCCAACCAGCATGTAGCCAGTGCTGCCGGAGAGAGGGCGAAGTGGTTGGATAAGCAGGTTCTGTATGCCACATATCGCGATATAAACCGGTTGACTGATCAAAAATGGTTTCGCATTCAACAACACCTCTTTTCCTCGCATGACCGCCCTTCTATCGGCCATTCCACATCAGGCCAAGCCTTTTTTGCCGCAACATGCCGCGACCGGTGACAAGACAACAGTTTCTAGACTTTTGGCGAATCACGCATCAATGGCATCACTGGCAGTTTGGCAATCGCCAAGTTTGGTGCTTGAATTGTGGCACCAGACTAGCCTCTAGATCCACGACTGATAGGCTCAAACTCCTAGCGGGGCGGCCCCGCCCCAAATCCTGCGTGGACTTAGTTTCCTCGGTGTGCATTGGACGCATGATTACTGGTTTTATGGTGTAGGGAGGGGATGGCGGAGTCGCTGTGGGATGAGACTGACAATGCATGCGAAGGAGGCGAACCGGGTTCGATGTGCCACGCTGCTGCTAAGTCTCGTTCTTGCCGGACCCATTGGCTCGTTCTTGCTATGTGTGTCGCCCCGCGCAGATCATTTGCTGCGCACCTTCCCCCCGACCTCTCAGCCACGCACGCACGGGGCCATGACGATGCATCACTCTTGTCGCGTACAGGGCTGCTTGCCAACGCTTTGCCCGTACTGTGGCTGCGCCAACTTGAGGTGCGTGTTGCCTCGCTAAACTCGAACCTTGGCCAGCGTTTTCTGCTCCGTTGTGAGCCTGGCGAGCGATGCCAAGGCTGGCAGCATCACGCTTCTCGCGCTGCCCCAACCATTTCTGGCATGCTCACCACCTTGTAGCGTCGGTTGCACCTGTCGATCCACAAGTTTGTCCGTGGGTCGCCGGGTGCCACGCAGAACCCGACATTGTCCAGCTCCCACGCGGCGCGGAACGATGTCATCCGTCAAGGGGACAAATGTGTACCTACGCGGTTATGCAAAGCTTGCATCTTTGGAATCGAGCCTTCGTCTTCATATTCTTCATTCAACATGCTCGGCATGCACGCTGTCGGTCAGTGTTCGGCGTGCGACAGCCTTTCGGCGGCCGGTCGGACGTGGCCCGTGGTGTTGGACCTCGCCAACGCGGCGGGGCCCCATGTCGCTCGACGGCTCTTCCTTGAACCGTGTCCTTGACCTTGCTGCTGCTGCTGCCGCTGCTGCTGCTGCTACTGCTGACGAGACGCGCCGTCGCCTGCCGTTGCGCAGCCCTATATAATCCGGGACCGCGCCGCAACAGCCATAGTACCACACTGAAAAAATACAGGGCACTGCATGTTTCTTTTCCACGCACTGTTTGCAACTGCCAGCACAGGCGGTTGTTCATGAAACCTCTTAAACAGTGATGATACGTGGGTGCGGCCATGAAAATCAATATCTTGTGTAACAACGAAAGTTTTCTTGTAGTCATGTCAGACTTTTTTGCCGCCGAAATCCAAAGTTGATGGGGATTCCGGGCCAACGAATCCGCAACTGCGGAAAACCTTATGTCAAAGCAACCGACAAACGTTGGACCGGCTCCTGCTGCGTGCGTGTGCCACAACACGCGCCAACTACCTTTTTCGCATCCTCCCCCCCACCTCACGGCCGAATATGCAGCGTAACATGATGCAACTGTGGCCTGCGGTGCCTTTCCAACAAAGTGCGAAAATCTGGTCGGGCTTCTGTGGACTAAGCCTCGAACATACAATTTGTCTGGCTTTGGCGACCTTCACTGGGAGGCACCGGTAGCCCTTTTTGGACCGTGCTTGTTTTGCAGTTGCAGTCTGCTTCTTTTTCGGCCAGCTCTTTGAAGTCATGGACATGACGTCACACGCCTTTTCGCTCAAGCGACGAAGCCGGGGTGCCCGGCGAACGTGCCGGCGACACTGGCCCTGCGATGGTCCACGCTGCTTGCCTTCGCCGCTGCCCGATCTTTTGCAGCCAGCCAGCCTTCTCTCTTTGCCACGTGCTGCCACTGCCAACATCGATCCTCCTAAGCCATCTTTTCGCGGACTCCATTGAACCACCGCACATCTCAAGTCGCCTCCCTTAACTGCCGCGTCGGGTGTCACTGGCACCGGGACCGCATTGTTGATTGTCTGAGTAAAACATCTGCAGGTGTGCCATGTGTTGTGCAGGCGTGCATGGCCCTGCGCAGAGGATGACACGCAACATCGATGGCTCAAGATGTGCGAAAGGTGATGGGGTCTTGTTTTGAGGTTCGGATTTGGATGAGCCTAGAGGCCCCGGGATGGCGAGCGATTACAACAGTCTTGACGATGTTCCGATGCAGATAAGAAGAAATCTTTCGAGTCCTGTTCCATCACATTTCAGTATCGTTACCGCTACGCCGTCTCCCAACCTGGTTCATAACCAAGAGGTTATGAGCCCAAGGGCTCCCCTTGGGCAAATCTCCGCAAACACTCAGCAGCAAGGACAGCAAACAACAGCTACAGCATCTACAGCAGACATTGCAGCGGACGGATCAGTCGTCTTCAGGAGTTTATCCCAAGTGGTACTTCCTGCAGACCTGGTGTTGCGACTGCAAGCGCTGCAGAATCTAGAGCTGGGACAACTGGCGGATCTTGATCACATCCGACAGGGCATGCAGGCACTGGCCGATGAGCTGGTGAGACGTTCCGAGCTGCTTGGACAATGTGTCCAAAGGGCCGCAAGTGGCACCATGGAAGATAGAGAAACCATACGGGGTTTGCAGCAGACTTTGCAAGCCCTACAACAGAGAGATGCGCATCATCAAAGTAGACTTGCCTTTTTATCCTCGGAGCATGAGCGGACGATGAGCCTTCTTGCAGAGTTTGAAGCGGGCATGAAAGCCAAATGGGCCGAGGCTTGGCAGAAAACCACTTCCTTGGAGGAGAGACTTGAAACCTTTCTGGCGGCACAGGCTGGATTGCGTGGAGATCTTGAGGGTCTTGTCGGCCAGTCGGCCGGAGAGCAGAAGCAGCTCCTTGTTACCATGCTTGAGAAGCAGGCGGCAGCATTGGAGCAGGCAACGGTGAAGCAAGCAAACAGCGAAGAGCAGATTGAGCAGCTGAAGCGGAGCTTAGATAGGGCTCAGGCTGAGGCAGCGAAGGCGAGAGACCAGTATGAGGATGATTTGAAAACCACTAGATGGGTGGTAAATCGGGTCGCGAGGTTGGAAATGCTGGTAGAAAAGCTGCGAATTCAGGATGCGACTATCCAGCGAGAGTTAGAGGTGGATCCCGAAGAAGGAATTCGGTTGGGAAATGCTGGTCACGATGTGGACCGCACCGGAGCCCCTGTGATCCATCATGTTCTATCTCCAGAAAACCCAGGGGATAGCAATGAGAACTACGAGGATGATTGGTGGGGTGCAGGTGTTGCCGAGCAGTGGGATGCAGTCGGGCGCAATTTTCCACCCGGCTTGGGGCTGAACGCTCCTCCACCACCGTTGCCTGAGAACATGAAGCAGGCTAACTCGGCACCTGAGGTCAAAATCCACCAGGCGGCGTTTAAGCTGTTGAAGGATGCCCCGAAGCTTGACCTATCAGCAGGAGGGGAACCGTGGGAGATCGGCATGGTTGTCCACCAGTGGCGTGTGGAGATGCGGACTGTGCTGGCAGCGATCCATCAGCAGTTCGCCGAGTTCTTTGACAGGACCTATGAAGCAGGGAGGTTGAGATATGAAAAGAAGCGTTTGTCAGGGATTGAGGATCAGCTACCGGCTATTGCTAGTGCGGACGCCGAAATGGAGACGCGGCTATCGCTGACGCTGTTGCAGAAGCTTCCCACTGCCGTTCGCCAGCCTGTGGTGGAGACGTCTTCATCGCAGAACGTGCGCTGTGTGCTCATGTTCGAAAGCTTACATGAGAGATATGCTCCAGGAGGCAAGGAAGAGCTAGAATCAATCCAAAGATACCTGAGACAACTCCCTACGGCTCAGGATTTCAAGGGCGCTCTTACAACTTTGAGGCGATGGAAACTTGCACGCCAACGGGCGCACAATCTCGGGTTGCCGGAGCAAGCGCCTAACGAAGGCATTTCAGCGTTAGACTCCCTAGTGCGAGCGCTAGAGAAAAGGAACCAACAGATGGGGATGAAGATCAACTTACTTCGTATGCAACCAGATTTGATTATTCCCTCGTCGGCTGGGCTTGAAAGGTACGCTTTGTTACTCGAAACCGAGTGTCGGAGGCTAGCCTCCGATCAAGAAGTGCGGGACGCACGCGCGGCCCAGAGTAGTGAAATCGTAGTTGCAGCAGAGGCAGCAACCAAGGGCAAGGGTCGGCAGATGTGTCATTTCTTTGCTAAGCCAGGGGGATGTTGGAGGGGCAAAGATTGCCCATTCTTCCATGGGGAGGCGAATCAGGCCAAGGGTAAAGGTAAGGATAAGGGATCTGGGAAAAGTAAGGGGAAGAGTGCCGATGGCAAACAGGGTGGCAAGGGCAACGACAAGGGTGCCCAGAAACCTGAACCCCCGAGCAAACCTGAACCAAATCCCAAGCCTAAGCCTAATCCGAAGCCTGCCCCGAAGCCAAAGCCGAAAGCAGAAGCCAAGGCAGCTGTTGTCCCAGGGCTTTTGGGTGTAGGCTTGAAGAGTATGGTGTATGCTGCCCGAGAAGTGGGTGGCAGGTCTGAGCCATCCGATTCGGACCAAGGGTCAGAGCTCTCCGAAGTTGGACAGGCTTTATCTAGTGATTCAACAGGCGAGGCACTTGAGAATCAGTCCAATGGTAGTTCACAGCTGGAAGAGCTAGAAGATATTGTACGTGAGAGGGCTGAGCAAGCTCCCAACAGGGCTCCCCTTTGGTATCTTGTGCTAGATCCTGTTGAGTATGCTGTCTGGAGTCCCGGGCACGATGTGATCACGCATGCCATTGCCCCTTTCGAGCGTGTGAACGGTCCAACCTTGATTGCGCTTGGGGTTTGGTGGGCTTTGTCAGAGATTGATTTCGAGCTTCCGGCGACTAACATTGAGATAGGAGAGGGTCAGTATATCATTGAAGCCTTGCAGAGGTTGTGTATGTATGCTGACGGGGTTTTGAGACCGGTTGTGATGACTCACTTGATTGACATTGATTCCGGTAGGGAGCAGATGCTGGTGTTGACTGAGAGTAGCATACCGCCAGTAGTGGGTTCATGGGAGCTCCGGGATGCTAGGGAAAGGCTTCGAAGGGCTATCAACCCATCAGCAACACCCGCTTCATCATCCGGAGTGCAAAGAGAGGCTCCACAGGCTCCTAGGCCACCGGGTTACCCAGGTCAGTCTGAACGGGTGTCTGAACCGATTCCTATGTCTCCGGGAATGCCACCTTCGAGTGCACAATCGTCGTCGCTTGAACCTTTGAGTGGATTGCTTGGGGTCCGCAGTAGCAGAGTTGTCCCAAAGGCACCGCCAACGAGACGAACATCTAGGGGGAGTGATTCTTCAGAAGATGAGGGTAGGTTTTATGTCGCTGACCAGGCGAAGTGCGTAGGTGCTTCAGTTCACAAGGGTTTCGGAGGCAGCGGACTCCCCAGAGTTCTGATTGACTCTGGAGCCAACGAAGTCATTCGGCCATTTAGGGAGGGTTTGCAGTTGACTCGATGTAAAAGAACGCAGGTAGCTGTAGCCTCCGGAGATGTGGTCGAAGCTTTTAGATCGCGTGATGGCGAGTTGATCCTCGGACAGGAGCCTGACAGTGACTGGATACTGAGCGTAAGGCGCCTCAGAGGCGTTAGCGGCTCATTTGTTTGGGATGCCTCAGGCCCTCGCATCACATACCCTAGTGACTCTGGCACTGTAACCATTGACTGCTACGAAGAGAATGGGTTGCCATACATAACTTGGAACGACTTTCGTCCGATCAGGAAGCTCTTGGCACAGGCTTGGAAGTACAAGGGCATGGGAACTGTCTTGAGAGCAGCGTCAGTGGATGGGATGCAAGTGCAAATTCTGAGCTATCCAGAAGTATCAGAGGCATTGCAAACACGGTTTGAGGAGGAGAGTAGCTTAGCGGCACCTGTTCAGGTGGAAGATGCCGGAGAGAAGTATGCGCAGCACCTTTGTGAACAGAGCACGGTGTCGTTCAAGGAGGTTTGGGAGGCAATCCAGTTGGCCTCTCTAGTTGAGCGTAGAACAGACCGTGAGAAGATCATTGCAGGAAGTGACGGCCAGAAGATTCCTGTGTGGGTGTTCGGGCTGTTTGTTCATGGAGGTGTACTCGGACTGACTGCTGAGACATGTCGACATCCTTGGTTGACGAAGTTGCTGACGAAGATGGTGCGTCAGAACAATCCGGGCTTGGAGTTCCTGTCCATCACAGTGTCAATCAATGTAGTCTACAAACCGCACAAAGACAGGAATAGCTTGGAGAGGGAGTCAGCGGTCATCGGCATCACCAAGTTCCAGGGTGGACGCCTCTGGATAGAAGGTCTGCCAGGAGAACAGCACAACGATGTTCTACGAGAGGTGGATGACAGCGGCAACGTGAAGGCTGGCAGATTGCATGACGTTGCACACTGCAGTGTCCGCTTCAATGGTGCAGTCAGACTTCATGGGACAGAGCCGTTCCATGGAACTAGGGCGATTGCTGTAGCATATACTCCGAGGGGCCACAAGAATCTTTCCAGCGATCTATTGTTGAAGTTGGAGGCGTTTGGTTTTTGGGATGAGAGGATGAGCTCGAAGCCGAGCGTCAGCAGCGGAAGCAGTGGATGGTGCGGCAGCAAAGCATACACAGTGAGCAACAGCAGCACCCACGGCAGCAGCAGGCTAGAAGCAGTGAGTGACAGAGACACAGACAACATCACCCACGGCAGCAGCAGGCTAGAAGCAGTGAGTGACAGAGACAAAGGCAACATCACCCGCGGCAGCAGCAGGCTAGAAGCAGTGAGTGAGAGCAGAAGTCACAACATCCAAGAGGTCCCTAACAATCAGGGTCAGGGCATTTCGGATGATGGTGCAGTTCAGGGCCGGCCGCATGGTGAACGAGGTTGCCAGGACGCTAGCGGGGTTGGTTTAGGAATTCAGGGTCTAGGCGCGAGTAGCGCGCGTTGCCCCGATGATGATGATGAGGGTTGTCAGCTGCGAGGGTTCATGGCCTCTGAAGGACCGGCAGTTCCTCCGGAAGGTGTGGAGCTAACGCGGCCAGGGGAACTTGATGCGTTCGGGTTAGAGTCGTATGAAGCTGCGCTGCGAGAGTTGATGAAGAAGTGCAAGCAGGGATGCTACGATCCGCAGTGTGAGAAGTGCATCCGCGCAAGGGGTGCATCCAGGCCGCATAGACAGATTCACGAGGCTGGGAAAACATATGCCAATCTGTCGCTAGATGTTTCCGGACCTCACTGCGAGTCAGCTGACAAGATGAAGTATGCTGTTATTGGTGTGTATAGACTGCCAACGGGAAAGAACCTGTACTATGCAGTTCCAACGAGGACTAAAACAGCAAAGGACGTAGCTGATGCAGCTGCGTATGTGATGGCTCAGCTTGCTTCGTTGCAGGTGCCACCATGTTTCCGGGTGCATACTGATTGTGGAAAGGAATTTGAAGCTGCTCTTTTCGCGGAGCTTCAGCAGAGGCATGGGGTCTTCCATACCCAGTCGGTGCCTTATCAGCCGCAGTCAAATGGGAGGGTTGAGAGAGGAGTGCAAGCGCTTAAGCAAGCAACCATTCGAGATCTGTTGCATTCTGGTCTTAGCCCCACCTTTTGGTCGTATGCCATTCAGAGTGCAGCATTCCTGTCACGACTGCGTGCTCTGGACCTGACGCTACCGAAAGGGACACCTAGAATGGGGGATCACGTGGCATTTCAGCGACCAGGAGCAGATCACTTCGAGGAGAGAGCATCGCATGGGGTGTTTGTGGGTCACTGCACTTCATGTGTAAATGGAGCCTGGGTTTTGATTCTTGAAGGTGGGGTTCTGAAGCTCAAACGGGCGAGATTGCCGGTTCTGCTGGATAAACCGATTGTTCGCTGGAAAACTTCAGTGGATCCGGAGGGAGATCGGAGAGTCTGGGTGGCCAGTGACGGCCGAGTCGTCTGGAGCCAGGATGCGCCAGAGGGCTTGCTAACAGTCGAGGAACGGCTAGAAGGCCCGGCGGTGGACCCTGAGGACCTTCAAAGGGTGATCAAGCAAAGGAGTTGGGACCGTACGCCGGAAGAGGCTCTGCAATTGTTCGGCATGTTCGGACATGGTTTGCTGATGCATGACCATGACACTGTGCCGGAGGAATTAGGACCTGAGGCTGAGGTTCCGGAGTTGGTTGTGATCGATTCGGCTTGTGAGGATACTCACGCTGAGGAGGAGCCATTGGTCTTCGCAGCTGCCGTTCGGAACAAGAAGGTGGCAAAGCCGGATGACAAGGTCGATCGCTACAAGATTCTGCCTTACGAGGTTGAGCAAGAGATGAACAGAGCGGAGGTCAAGGTTGCCCAGCTGGTGACCGACACGATTGATGCGAGGATCTTATCTGACCCTCGAACACCGGCGGATGAGAAGCTGAAGTGGGTGAATGAGGGTTTAAGGCCGGAGCTGGAAACGCTTCAAGCGAAGGAGATCTACGACGAGTGGGATGAGGCCGACATCCCACCAGGAGCAAAGGTGTTACCGTCCAAGGTGGTGCTGACCAAAAAGCCTCTTGAGGGCGATGTGGAAGTCGATCCCACCGATCATTTGAGTACTTGGAGGGCAAAAGCGCGGATTGTGGTGTGTGGGAACTATGAGCAGAATACGATTGGTCATGATCCAGATAATGCCAGTGCGAATCCGGCCATCGAACATATCCGATGGAGCGCTGCTTGCCTTGCCAGTCACCCGAGCTGGACTGGACTGGTCCTTGACGTGACAGCTGCATTTTTGAATGCGAAGATGGACAACGACACCACTTTTGTCAGGCCCCCAAAGGTCCTATCCAGAGAAGGATTGGTGCAGCCTTCTAAGGTCTGGAGGCTTCGTCGATTGTTGTATGGATTGCGTAAAGGACCTAAGCTTTGGGAGTTGTGCCGGAATGAGGAGTTGGATGGAAAGACGTTTGAGGATGCAAGTGGTGTGACCTATTTTCTTGATCCTATCTCGTCCGGTGTGTGGGCCATCAGAAAGCAGGGAGAGCAACAGTCCTTTTGCGGCGTGTTCGACATGTACGTTGATGACGGCTTGATCGTGGGACCGGTGGCTTTGTGTCAGGCTTTGGCAGAAGTGCTGTTGAAGATTTGGCAGATTAAGATTCAAGGGTGTTTGCCAAGTGATGAGTTGAAGATTGGTGAAAAGGTCCAGGTGGGTGACAAGCAAGTTCCAGTCCGGCAAGAGTTGCAGTTTCTGGGAATGGTTTTCAGACGCACTGAAAGGGGTGTTGCGCTGCATCAGCACCACTGGGTAGATACTGAGTTGGAGCGGCGCGGCTGGACAACGGTCAGAGGAGCTGCTAATCTCCCAGAGGTGGCGGAAGGACAAGCGGAACCGGCACCTCGTGATGATGCGTATGGTGCCGATTTGCATCGAGCTCAGTCGGAGATTGGTTCTCTTTTCTGGTTGGGGCTCAGGACAAGACCGGATCTGCTTGCAACGGTGGGGGCTTTGTCATGTATGAGTACGGTGGACCCGAGAAAGACGTACAAGTTGGCTACACAAGTCTGGAGGTACATAGCCGGGACTAGGGATAAGGTGCTCTTCTTCAAGGCCGGCGGCGAACTTCAGGATGCAAAGCTCGCAATCTTCGGTGATGCATCGCTAGCTCCGGGGGCATCGCGATCAAGGACGGGTGTGGTGGTAAAGTTTGGCGGGTATGTCATCGCCTACCGCACTCAACGCCAATCCCTTACGGCGTATTCGGCTTTTGAAGCTGAGGTTGAAGCGTCGGCGACGGCGTATCAGCTGGGAATGCAAGTGAAGCTGTTCTTGGACAAGTTCTTGCAAAGAGGAGTTGACACGGAGCTGTACGGGGACAATTCGGCTTGTGTAAGTAATCTGACCAAGGGGTCGGAGTATGTGCAGCCCACTCGCACGCGCCATTTTGGTATGAGATGTTCTTACTTGAGAGACCACCTCAAGAATGATGGCATCCCAATGCTGCATATGAGTGGAGATTTGATTCCGGCCGATGGATTGACGAAGACTCTTTCGCGAGTCAAGCTGGAAAGCTCAAGAGAGAAGCTCAATGTTGTATGAAGGTGCTCAAATCACTGGTCCTGGATATGGGTTGGTGCCGAGCCATAATTATCTATCATCTGAGGTCGAAGGAATAGTCCAACTTCAGATTTGTGCATGTTCTTGCTGGGCACACCCGAAGTGCGCCCAATCCACGCTGAGCGAAGATTCGGCGAGGAGGAGTGCAGGTGTGCCATGTGTTGTGCAGGCGTGCATGGCCCTGCGCAGAGGATGACACGCAACATCGATGGCTCAAGATGTGCGAAAGGTGATGGGGTCTTGTTTTGAGGTTCGGATTTGGATGAGCCTAGAGGCCCCGGGATGGCGAGCGATTACAACAGTCTTGACGATGTTCCGATGCAGATAAGAAGAAATCTTTCGAGTCCTGTTCCATCACATTTCAGTATCGTTACCGCTACGCCGTCTCCCAACCTGGTTCATAACCAAGAACATCAATCTCTTTCTTCACGCAATATGTTGCAACTGCGAATGAATGTCCCGGTGCCAACTGCACTCTGCGGCGGCGGGTCGCGCTTCACGCACGAGGCGGCTCAGGAGCCTCCTGCCAGCGAGCGTCTGCAAGGAGCTCGTGCCAGAGCTGGTGGTGGGCCAACGGCACCAAGCTCCGACTGCAACGGAGATGAGAACACTGCTGCGGGAGGCTCCGCCGCCCTGCAAGGCGGCAAGAAGACGGGCGTCGCTCCCAGAAGCCCAGCGCGCTGCGCAGCGGTCGGCCGAGGCGGAGCGAAGACCGAGCCCTCCGAACCGCTGACTAAGATAGTGCGTGTGGCTTAAGTTAAGATATACATGATACTAAGAGGTTAAATAAGTTAGCTAAAAAGATAACATAAGTTAACATAAGTTAGAAAAAGTTAGCTTATACAGGTTTAAAATAACGAAACGGAGAAACAACAAGAATCGAGACGCAAAGACACACCATGGCAGACAAAGGCACAAAGGCGCAAACTTTCCGAGTTACTCGCAAGCTTTCTGCGACTATTTACTCACGCAAGACGTCCGGCAAATATCAACTGCTTTAAAGAGAGATGCAAACCTTCCGGCTCATGGGAGTGCAAGGCTTCCAGCTCATATAGAGACTTAAGGGCAGCAGCATCGCATGAGTGCATGCAGTATGCATCCCCGGACTGGCTGCAGTCTTTTCCTCAGACCGCTCGCTGCGGCGACCACTGCAGAGTCAGAACAACATCGTCAAAGAGTTTCCTTCCAGCATCCAGCAAGGCGGCAGCAAGAATTGGTGCTGCTGCAGGCAGGCTCGCATTCTTTGCAGTGGTTCTGCAAACACTAAACACCCAGGCTCTGTCTTGACTTCCATGAACGCTTTGACCGAGATCCAGATGATTTGCTTTTCCAGCCAAATTTCTTCCACCAAACCTGCTTTGCGGTGCAAAGGAAACCAAACGACTTGGCCAAGCTCAATCTTGTAGGGCCCAGAATCCAAGCGATTTCCGTCGCAACTGAAACCGAAGGGTTGAGCTTCGCGGATTTCGGAAATCTGCAGACTCCAAAGGGAGTGCAGCACGGACACCACCGAATTGTGTCCCTTTCCGGACAGATGCTCGATTTTGGTCTTTGCGGCGCGATGTTTGCGCTCGAGAACGAAAGCATCCAGCATCCGACAGTGGTCTCTGTACTGCTGCACTAAGTGCAGCATGTAATGTGTTTTTGGCCTCATCTTCTCCAAGCCGTAGACCTCATGAAAAGCAGCAATGTAGGCGTTGATGGCGTTCTGGAAACGGCATGCCAATGCTTCCGCATGATTCCGCAGAGCTTCAGCAGATTCAGCGTGCTTCCGCACAGTCTCACCGTAAGGAGTGAACTTGATCTGCATCCACAAAGATAGGACGGAGCCGAGAAGGAGAAACGCCTGCAATTCCTTCTTCATGTCAGGACAAGTTACGGTTGGAAAGACTATGAAACGAATGAGGAAGTGAAGCAACGGAGCAGCTCCAAGCTGGCTGGATGCGGAGACTTTCCAAGTTCCATCTTCAGTGAAATATTTGTCTCCCAGCTCGCGAGCAAATTGCGCCCGGCCGACCTTGCGAGTGCTTCTTCGGTGCTTGATGGAATCATCTGTGCAGGCTTCGGCTATGCGGTCAGGGGTCCAGCCCATCTTCTGCAATGCCTTCAAAAGAAAGCCGACATGCCTGGAAAACTGTCCCTGCACGAAGAAGACATGCATGGGATCGAAGTAGTGCGTCAAAGGTGGCACTTCGCGCCGAGTAGCATCGTCCGTGAGCAAGCTTCCTTCCAGAGCATTCCAGCCAACGTCTGTGACAAGTTGCTTGACTTTGGTTTTCCTGACGAAGACCGTGGGCAAACACACGTAGCCCAAAAACGTGTTAATGCCTCTATGTATTTAATGTATATATACACTTATATATATAAGCAGTTGCCATTGTTTGGAAAACCCTGCAAAAACAACACATGTCTGCGAAATATCATTTACGAGAAAAGTGACGGCTGGGTTCGGGATGCCGCCAGGACATGGTCCACCACCTCGAAGATGTGCTCATTTGTCATAGTGCGAAGCTGATTTTCCGTGGCGTTCAAAGTTCGCAGGCCTTGGCGGTCAGCGTCTGGCGGCAACTTCTTGAAGCGACTGTAAACGTTGCCGCAGCGGAAGCAAGGCTTGTTTCCTGACTGTCCGGTGCTTCCCAGCACTCCATGCAAAGCCGCTGCATCATACAAGCAATGCGAAACAGCACCATGCACGAAGAGCTGACTTCCGCCGAGCTGGATATTGGCACCCAGCTGCAGATATCGCAGGTGGCGGTACAAACATCGTACAAAGCCAGACAATCCTGCCTTGACGGTTTTCATGGTGACAGTGGGCACAACGGTGAGCACGAACCAGCACATCTCGGACAGGAGGAACTCCTCGAACTCGAGTGCGCTGATGTAAAAGCAATACGCCCTTTGCCGGTTGTCCGGCGCCAACGGGTTGCCGGGCGTCACCTCGTCACCATAAACAGAAAACCGGAGCCTGAGGCTTCCGCCTGCCGCCTTCGCCTGGAGTAGACGCTGGAAATCTGGCGACTCCCGCGCCAAAGCTTCCCAGGCATTGAAGACGTTGAGGACGGGGTACCTCAGCGGCTCTGCTTCCGCAGCCGCTCCCGTGGCAGAAGCTCCCGCAGCAGCCGCTCCCGTGGCAGAAGCTCCCGCAGCAGCCGCTCCCGCGGCAGCCGCTCCCGCGCCGCCCGCCGCTTCCGCAGCAACACCCGCCGCTTCCGCAGCTCGCGGAATCTCCACGTAGTCGTAGAGAGCATCCACGGCGGCCTTCTCCGCTTTCCTCCTTGTTCTGGGGTCCACCTGCTCCCCAGCGAGGTCGCGAACGGCAGACGGCGGAGCATCTCGTCTGGCTGCGTGGCGAGCAACCCTCTCGGTTGTCTCGCTTTCCGGCAGCTTCCGCTTCGACATGGTGAATTCCTATATATCTGTAAACAGGGACTTACACTAAAAATTGCAGATGTGTCTCAAAAATGCTTTCTTGAAGAACTTGCTAAAAAGCATTTCTGTTTATAGTTTTTGAAGCATCTGTCATCGGACCTCCAGGCTATGTCTGCAAGCTTGATTTCACTGCGCTGCAGCGGTTGATGCAACGCCATGCGCACAAGTGAACTGACATGAGACGTGTGAGCAACGTCGGTGGTGGCAACCTCTGCACGTATAGCTGAAGCAGCAGTTCCATGCACACAGAAACAGTTGGAGGCCTCTTTTTTTTTCAAAGTTCTCTGCCGTCCTGTGCGGTAGCCTCTTCTGGGCATTCCTGTTGCTGCCAAACAAATTCGCGACTGGGCAAAGGCATGCTGCCCTTTCAGGGCTTTCCAGCATGCCTGCTGCCAGCTATAGCCTCTTCGGGCCTTCCAGCATGCCTGCTGCCAGGATTGTGCATGGACTATATTTAGAGTTTGCACGACCTTGTCAAAACAAACTCGTACTATAGAACATATCTATAGTCCATGCATGTCATTCCTGACAGCTTAAAAAAACCCCTTCGTAAAGTCATCAACGACGCTTCCGCAAGTCGTTGATGACTGTGCTCAAGCTGCGCAAAGGGCGGTCCATCACCGCAGCCTCGGAGCCAAGCACAAACTTCACGAAGGAGGCTTCCGCACTCGACACGTCCATGCTTTCCAGCAAAGTAGCCGTGGCGCTCTTGAGCGTCGAGCTTGGTGGAAGCCTGGCTTCCGCCAGCTGTCGCCCGGCCAGGGTGCTGGCCGTCACCCGGACCCCTTGCAGGGTGGGCCTCAAAAAAAGCTGGACGACCCGGCTGCTCAGGACTTCCACCCACAGGTGTGTCATCTGTCCCGAGACGGACTTCAAGATGAACACCCTGCGACCGCCCACTTCCGTGGTCTTCTTCAGCTTGAAGTGGTAGTTCTGGGCGTAGGTAAAGCTCACTCGCACCTTGCTGTGGCGGTAGAAGCGTCGGACCCCTTCCGGCACTTCCTCCTCCTCCTCCGGCTGCTCAACCTCACCTTCGGGCTGCGCTTCCGCACCTTCGCCTCGCGGCTCATCAAACTGGCGGTCGTAAGCCTCCATCATGTAGTTGAGCTGCCGCGTGGTCTTTTCGCCGAGCTTGAAGAAGCGGAAGGACTTGGGGCGCTCGGGCTCTTCGACCTGGGACTCGGCGAAGGTCAAAATGCAGCACTGGAAGGCGCTCATGGCGGCGAGCAGTAAGGAGCGGGGGAGGGGCTGCTTGGACTTGTCTCAGATGCGGCTGCATAAACAGCGAGCATTGGAAACGTTTCCCACCTGGCAACGCTGGGCAGCATAGAAATATGCAAGCCAGAACTAATCGCATCGACTGCAAACTTACGTAGTAGACAGAGCACACATACTGCCTTCGCTGTAATTGGGTTTCCGCCCAATGGGTTCGCACAAATTGCCTTGCAACTTCTCGAAATCGATAGCTGCTGCAGCTACAAGGCTTCGGCTCTCGATTTTTGCCGTCAGCAGGCCACTTCCGTTCGTGCTTCGTTCCTGAAGCAGGCTCGCTT